AATTCATTGTTTGTGCTGAGAAGTCTACTGTAATTCTAATAGGTTTTCCTTTATAGGTGATCTGTCTTTTCTTTCTAACAGTTTTTACTATTCTACTCTTATGTTGGATTTCTGGGATGGTGATTATTATATATCTGGGTGTATTTTTATTTTGTTTATGGCTATATGAAGTTCTATATGCTTCACTAATCCTAATGTCTGTTTCCATTCTCATGTTTGGGAAATTTTCAGCTATTACTTCTCTAAATAGCCTCTTGATATCATTTGCATTGACCCCTTTTTTTCATTTATACATATCAATCTTTTGTTGTTTTTCTTTTCATCATCTTGCAGTTGTTGAATTGTTATTTTCTGATTCCTTGTTCTTTTTAAAAGATCTTTCCTTTCCTGTTCACTAGCTGTAATCTTGTCTTTGAGATCTTAAATTCTATCTTTACTTTCATTGAGGTGGTTTTTACAGCTTTCAATGGAATTTTTGATTTCCTGTATATCTCTTTTGCATCTGCTTAATGTATTCTGTTTGTTTCTTATATTGTTCATCCAGGAATTCTATCATTTTCTTTAGTTCCTCCAATTTTTTAACTGTCTTCTTTAGTTGTGTTCAGCATCTCTTTCATTACTTTCATCATTTCTTCTTTTACCTGGGAGATTATTTATAATCTGAATTCCTTTTAAGCTTCCTGGTGTTGCTTCTTTATTTTAGTTGCTATTATTTCAAGTATTTCAGGTGTATGGCATATATTTTCTTCTATGTACATGGCTCCTAGGCTTTCTTAGGATGCGCTGGAGGTTTGAGATTGCATTTGGTCTTTCGTCTTGTCATTTTTCTATATTTCTGTGTTTCAAGTGTTCCAAAGCTTCCCCTGGGCATGTTGGAAATCACCTCCTATGCCCTCAGCTCCTGAGAACTGAATGGAGATTGCTGAGCATGGTCCAGTCAGGCCCACAGGACCTCTCATGCCACTCTGGTGTTCCAGGAAGCAGGACAGGCTCCTAACCACTGTGGGTGATTGTCCAAAGCTCTCCCTGGGCAAGCACTGATGCACTGGAACTTATTCCATGTGCCCTCAGTTCCCCTGATTGAAGAAGGTTGCTGGGCGTGATCTAGTCAGGCCCACAAAACCTCCCAAGCCTAGTCTAGTGTGGCTGGAGGTGCCCCAGCGGGCACTTAACTGCTGGGAGCCATCTTAAACTTAAACTCTTCCTGATCCTGTGCTGGTGTACTGGATCTCACCTCACTCAGCCCCAGTTCCCCTGATTGAAAGAAGGTCACTTAGACATGGCCCAGCTAGGTCTGTGAAACCTTCAGAGCCCAGTCTAGTGTGGCTAGCATCTACGTGGGCACTTTGGCACTTAACCACTGGGAGGGATGATCTTAAACTCTCCCTGGGCATGTGCTGGTGTGCTGGAATGCACCTCTGTCAGTCCCAGTTCTGATACAACATGTTTGACTTAATGGCATTGGCTGGCTTATAAGTCCTTTCCTGGAATAAATGCTACAAGAAGACACACCAGGATAGGAAAAACTTCAGTCTTATAAGCAATTCACTGATGCAGAAAGTGTGCAAAGTAGATCAGATAGTAATACTCCAGGAAAGCAGCTCACCTTGAGGAGGAGTTGTATTGCAAAATAATTGCTTGAGTTGGACTGGAAGTTTGAGATTGCATTTTGCTATTTACTTTTGTCATTTTCCTATATTTCCGGGTTTTGAGTGATGTTCCAAAGCTTCCCTTGTGCTTTAGGGATCATCTCGCCTACTTTTGGTTCCTGAGGCAGACTGCTGGAAACTTCTAGTGGCTTGGAGGTCACTGGGCATGGCCCAGTTAGGCCCTCAGGGACCTCCTGTGCATCCTCTGGTGATTTGAAATACTGGGCATAACCTTAATGGGTGGGAGCAATGTTCCAAAACTTCCCCATGTGCTGGGATTCAACTCGCACACCCTTGGCTCGTGGGACTGAATTCAGGCCCTTGCTAGCCCCAGAACTCCATTTTCTTTATTATTGTTGCCAATCTCTTTAGAAATAAAGTCTATTGAGAAATTCTTAAGATACTCAGCACTGTAGGTTTCCCAAAATTATTACATTCGTTTGAGTCCTGAAATTCTATTTTTGGGAACAAACACTGTTGTTCAGTGTTGTTTTCCTTGAAGTGACAAAACTTTTTTCGTTCATTTAAAAAATATCTTCAATTCTGCAAATATCTGCAAAGTACCCAGGCCTGAGTAACTGTAGTTTGTTCCTAATTATTTTTCAAATGAAAGCAATATTTAATGAAAAGTGCAGCCTAGATTGATTTCTCACATTGACCCTACTGCTTTGCCCAGAGACATCTATCCTGGGAGGCATCTTCTATGCAGCTGTCACTAAATCTGGATTCTTAGAATTCACTCTCTTTTGTATAATTCCCTTCACGTGATAGTAGCAGGACCTAGTGAACTGCTACTTAACAAATAGAATGTGACCAAATTGATAAGATGTCACTTTGGTGATTAGATTTTAAAAGCTTGTTTTTTCTGGGCTTTTCTCTTTACTTCTTTCGATATTGCCTAGATAGAAATGGCAACCGGGTAGACATTGTAAAGAAATCCTCTCTTATCTGTGAGATTGGAAGTAGAAGCCTCCCCTAGACCTTAAAAACGACTGTGAGTCCAGTTAACCTTTTAATTAGAACCCTATAAAGAATCTGGAGCAGCCAAGTAGTACCTAAATTTCAGACCTACAGAAGCTGAAATGATAAATATATGTTGTGTGAAGCTGCTATATTTGGGAGGGTAATTTGTTATGCAGTGATAGGTAACTAATACAACTCTCCAGTTCACCATGCATCGCAAATGCTTTATGACCACTTTAAATTTTGGTCCCATAGAATAGTGAAGAGTGTTTCTGATGACCAAGACTTATGCAACTAATAATTTTTCTGCTTCCTCTGACAGTCTTATATTGAGTCAATAGTTTAGTGAACAATGGTAAAGAATACAATCTATTAGTATGTCATGGTTCTACTGCCTCTATTTGTTCTATATCAAAACTATTTTACCCATTATACTTGTACCATCAGTACAAATACTTCTTTAGAAACTGCTGATCTAGACTATTCCAATTACTATATCAGATGAATTAGTAATTTTCTCCCCCAAATTTATATTTTATAATATAATCAAGGGAAGACAATGCAGAATTTGTTTTATTTAAAAAAAGAAATTGATTTTACACAATTTTTATTTTTTTCCTTCAGAGTGCATGCATACGATTGACTCTGGTTATCAAACATAACTGTTGAAATGCAGCTTCACTTTAATGTTCTATACCTACTTGTTCAATAATCCTGTCAAGAAAACAGCTTTGACTCTCCGTTACTTACTGTTTTCTAATATCTACATCTGAATTCTTAATTATCAAGGACAACATTAGAACCCTATAAAGAATCTGCTTTATAGGGTTCGTTTTGGGAAACCTACAGTGCTGCAAATATGCTTTTGACATGTGTGTTGCATGTTTGATTTTATTTTGTGTAAATTTTATAAATAATACACTGATACAACTTTGAATAAGATTTTTATATATTTCCAAGTATGTATTTCATTAATGCCTTATTAATATTAGTACTACAATCAATAAAACTACCTATGACAGGGGATTTTTTAAACTTATGGATTAAAAAAAAACATACATTTTCTTTCCAGCAAGACAAAAGATAGTTGTGTGTGTTTTCTATCATTTTCATACATTTAAATTTGTCTAGGTGATATTTCAAATTTTCTTTAATAAAATTGATGGTAAATTTTAACCCTATAACTTGCTTTAAATTTTCTAGTTGTGGTTGTAGATGAATGCACAAATACATAGATTTTATTATGAAGAGTCAGAATTCCACAGCACAAAAGCAGCTATTTCAGATATCTAAAATACTGAAAAAATAAAGCTTTTCCACAATAAGTTGACTTTGTCTAAATTACTAAGCATATTTCATGAAGTATTAACAAAAGATTTGTTATTTTAGTGGATTTTTACACATATCTTCATAGACTTTTAAATTAACATGTAGGCACATGTGTAACATAAAGAAAAAAGGAAAAATGTACCATATTGATGTTGTTATAATTAATAACAGAGTCACATTTCAAGTCCTTAAATTGATTTTTTTGTATTAAACATGGATTCACAGATGTTACAAGACTCCTCACTTGTTTAAAATCCAGATGGTGGCCCATGTGCTTCCTGCTCCAGAGTGTCCCATGGCTAACTCACTCACTTCAGGGTCTTTGAAGTTGATCCTGGCTGCCATAGCTGAGCTGAATCTTAGCAGTGAAATTGACACTTATTATGGGCAAAAGAAACACACTAATCAGGTCTCTGATAGGTTATTGTAAGATTACTCATTATTTCACAACCTCTATTTGCATTATAGAATCAATAAAAGTGTTAAAACACCACAATGTAGAAATCTGAAAATAGTCAAATATGGTCTGTATCTGGCTAATGCTTTACGATGCATATTTAAACCTACTGGAAACAGAAGTAAATTTATTTTTAAAAATACAGCACAGTATATTCTTTGCAGACTGTTTTTCAGATACTGGAAAGTCTTAACTATACATGTATTGGTAACTGTTTTATATTTAATGGACAGGGATTCCTACTATTAAACGCTGGGTTCGAGGCTATTTCTCCCCTTTTTATTATTGAAAAATTTCTGAAAATGTACCTGGTATTTAATGTTAGATGAAATTGTTGCAGACAAATTACCTTCCCTGAGGAGCCTCCAGCTCAATGTGGGAGGACGGTACAGGAAGCAGATTTTAGAAGAGCAGTCTGATTGAGGGTTACAGACCAGGTATTGCTTTCTCACATAGGTGGACTACAAGGATTTGAAAATTAAGAAATGATCCTGAGACTGAGAAGCTGTTTGGTTAAACAAATCTGTCTTAGTTACTTTTTACTCATTGCTGAGACAAAATACCTGAAGCCCAAGTTGGGAAAGGAAAGGTTCATTTCTTACAGTTTTTGGAGGTTTCAGTCCACGTTCAGTTGGCTCCAAGGCAGATGGGCATGGCTGGGCCGCAGTTCATGGTGGCTGCAAAACAGCAAACAGGAACCAGCAAAGACAGCAAGGCACACCGGCCTCCTGCCATTACATCACATCCTGGCTCCACCCCTAGGTGGGTGGAGCACTGACACCATCAATCCAAGCACTAGACAATGAACCAATCACAAATACACAATGCAAACTCATGAGGCCTGGGGGACACAGACATAAACCATGATAAAATCTAATGGCTGAAATCAAGGAAAAGTATCAGAAAAGAATTTTGATTCATCATATGAAAAGTCTACACTTCTCTGAAATTTTCTCCTACTTCCTTTTCTTTTTTTGTGTTTTTATTGGTACCGGGGATCGAACTCATGACTGCCTGCTTCCAAGGCAGGAACTTCTGCCGCTGAGCTAAATCCCCAGCCCCCTACTTTATTTTCACTTGGTTTCTCACTATCACCTCCCATCTTTATTGATCCAGCATCCTGGTCCTTCACCTTCCACAGCATCACCTGGGAGGTGATGTAAACTACAGCTTAAGGTCCACAGGGGAGAGTTTGTGAGCTTTACCCCACATTCCTGAATTTGCATTTCTAACAAGTCCTCCAGAATTGCTGCTGGAACTCCACTCTGAGAACCTCTGTCCTGAGCTGTACCTTTCCATTCCTTATAGCTTGTTCTCCAAACTCCAGCTTGGAGTCATCTCAAATTTTCATCTTTGTAGTTATACAAAGGCCCAATTCTATGTTTCCTAGGAATTTCTTTGAGGTATATTTTGTCTTTTCAAACTCATAGCTATCAATTTAGTCAGCTATTTCTACTATCATTAGCAATAAAATGAACTACAATCATTATTGCTAATTTCTTATAAACCCCTAAGTGCAAGATAGTAAACAATTAAATATAGATTTAAATAACATATTAGTAAATATTACTATTTTCTATATAAATGAATAACTTCATTTCCAGCAATATTAATTCATCTACAGTAAGAACTACAGAAGGGTAGTATTTACAGAATATTTGTATAATGAAGGCTTGTTTGACACCAAAGCCTGTGTTCTAATACTTTGTTTATACTGCATTCTGATCCCACCTCGAGGTCCCTTCTTTCTTGTAATCTCTGTGCTACGACTGAATCACGAAATACAGATTCCTCTCCCTTCTCTTAACTCCAAATGCTATATATATACATATATTCCACAAAATTTTTTTTTCTGATGGGAGCATTGGAAATCATTACCAAAAAATAGATTAATCAGTATGAATGGGACAATTAATTGCCTGGTGATAATACACAAATAAATAGTATATGATAAGCAACTGATATGTATATGATAGTATATGATAAGCAATTTTCTCTTTTCTGCATTTTTAAATGTTTTCATGCTTAAAAATAGAAAATTTAAATGCATCCATGGCCAATGGACTTCTGGATATTCTGGGTTAATCAAAAGCACAGCCATTTTCTCTGCTGCAGAACTTTTTAGTCATTAATATGCTAATGGAATTGTGAATTGCCAAGAGGGTAATGTCTTATGAAATATTTCCCAAACTTATTTGACCATGGAAGCCTTTTTTAAATGAAACATCTATTAACATCTCACAGATATTTTGGGAAATGCTGTTATACATCATAGCTCTTAATTTTCTCTAATTGTTTTATGTAATTTAACTTAATTTCCCTGATTATATTTTCCATCTCCTTGATGTCAGGGCCTAAGTCTGATTCCTTTTAGCTTGAAATACTTTGATGGTTTATTTGATTTTTTTCTTAGAAATTAGTATGCAGTTCATTATACTAAATGTAGCTTTGGGGCAGAAGGGTAGTAGTAAAAGTAGCCCTTCCACAGTTTTAAATAGGACACAAAATAATAGTGTTTTTCAAGCAAATGACAATCTTTTTGTACCATTAGCAGAGCCAATAGCTAAAGACTATACTTTTTATTTATGTATTTATCTCATTCAACAAGTAGTATGATGTATCTAAGGAGAGAAATGATACTTTTATAATAGTAATAGAATATAATGTAATATATAAGGTTTCTTAGAATTAAAACATCTTAAAGTAAAATAACTCAATCCTTTTGAGATTATGCCAAAAACACATATCTAATTCACAGATTTAGACAATCAACTTACATAGGGACTTGTGACCACTAGACATATCTTAAACTCTTTGATTAAGAGGAATGTAATTTTGATATAAGTTAAATAGAAATGTTTACACAAAAATTTGTTGACTTGATATTTTGCATTGCTCTTCATCTGAGAATTAACCAGTTTAATGTTGAAAATAATTGTCTCTCATTCCTATCTTTTCAATAAATTATAAACATGTTGAATGCAGATGTTAAGTGGAAATAAATACCAGGCACTATTTTTAAATAGTATATAAATCTATCTAGAGTGAATACATAATGTAGAATGAATGAGTCAGCCTTGTACATTTGAGTATTTCAGAGAAGCAGCTGATGAATCTCATTCTAAAACCATTACCCTTTATATTGGTTTATATTTGATATGTTCTGCTGATACTAAAGATAAAACACTTGGATTGCAAGTTTTTTTCATTTTATTATAGTTCTTACAACTCAGAAAAAATTGTTTGGTGGAGTTGCATGAAAGAAAACTCTTGTCCTTAGAGAAAGCATAATTTGTATACAAGTTGAATAATATAGGTACAATATCAATATCTTCAATACAGTTAAGTTGATTCAAAAACCCCAGTTTTCCTAGAATAAATTCAGTCAATACTAAAAAATTAATCTGTTGTTTTTTTCAATTATTGTTTTGGAATTTAATACTGAAAGTTTTTAGCAGATTTTACTAAAAAATTTCTATAGGTACACAAAATTATTAAAATGTGATTTTTTTCATCTTCTTTGTTACTGTTTAGTTTTGTAAACAATTCTTTGGGAGAGAACATTTTATAGATAGACCTTCATTGTATGTATTGATGTAACAATGGACACTTAGAGCATTTTGGGAAGTGTGCTGTTAAGTGTATTATCAAACTACTAGTATCTCCCATGTTCTGTCCTCCTACTTGGAGGGCTTACTTGAAAAACAGGTTGCTGTGCATATATACACACATATCGTAAATCTTCTATAGAGTGCTTGAAGAATGTTTCAGGTACCCTTGATATGTAGCAAGTTATCCCCAAACTTTGTGATTTATAACAACACTCATTTATAGTCTCATGCAGTTTCTGTGGATCTACATAACTGGAGTAGCCTTGCTGGGTGGTTCTTGCTTGGGATTTCTAAGAAGATTAAAATCCGGGGCTTCAGCCATCAGGGCTGGGCTGGGACAGAAGACCTTCTCTTAAGCTAGCTTAATCCCAGGCTGGGCAGTCCAAGGTGACTCTCAGTAGGGGACCTCAGTGTTCTGCACACGGGCCATCTGCTTGAAATGCTTGAGTATCCTGTTCTTGTTGCCATTGGCTTGTGTCAGAAAAAGTGACAGGAGGGAAGCCCAGTGGTCTTTACTAAATCACTTTGGAAGTGACACACACCCTTTTCTACTGTAACACACTGTATGCTTAGGTCGACCCTGATCACCATGGGAGATAATTATGTGAGAGTGTGGGTAACACATGAAGTGCAGGTCCCTGGAGGACACCACCTTGGAGGATGTCTGCTATAGGTGGTGAGGGAAAGAAATAGCATGTTTAATATGAATGAACCACTGTATGTTTTTTTCACCGCTGGCCAAGGAGGATCCTAAAAATAATTTCTGACTAATTTTTGTTAGGCAAAGTATCACAGTTGTGTTTTTTTATATTATTACTTGTAAATATACATCACTTTTCAGAAATGCCAGTCAGTTTTCAAGCAGATCATGCAGATGCAATTGTCATTTAATAATAGGGTGGTCTTGTATCACACATCAAAGTTGATGATGGAATTAGAATTGGAGGAATGAGACACAGAGCTCCTGACTTTCCAATTTTGGTCAATGCTTCCTACCAGTCTAGGAGTGCTCGTAGATGTTCTCTAAATGATAATTACTGAAATAGGTCAATGTATTATGCATTTCTCTCTACTCATTGTTCTATGAAATTTTAATTCTGGGAGATGTCTATTTCTTGTGTCTGTTCCTCTGGTACTTATATTTTCTGATGAAACGTTTTCTGATGATGAATCAAATGAGTTTTATAAACCCAAATGAGCATTTCATGTGATGATGAAACAAATGAGCTTTATAAGTATTTATTGCCAGATATATTTAGCTTTGCAAATATCAAAACCTGGTAAATGTACCCTTTGACACCAGGCCATCTAACATGCAGTTATGAAGCTAGACCTACTGCATGGAAGCCAGGAGTGGAAGAGAGGAGTCATCAGCACTTTTAAGATGCAGTAAGCTGAAGAAGAGATGATTGGTCATAGTTTTTTAAAATTGTGGCTGAGGCTATGTTCTTACATCCCTTTCAGTGGAAGTAGCTTAATTTCTATCCCCAGGTGGGCTGCACAGTAAATGGCAAGACAATTTAACAAGAGATATTATTGTTCATTGAAATGCTCACTCTTTATTCATAAGCATTTAATATTTTTAATGCATGGCTGTATTAAAAGGAAGGGAAAATATATACCTTGTGTCTATATGTGTGATGTGTTTGTGTTTCTCATTATCTGGTTCCAGGAAGCCAACTGTCTAGACTGGCATCTGAGTGACATATAAGACCTTTTGTATTACACTAAGTGTTTGATTTATGACAAATGAACCAAGGCTCCAGTAAGGTCATTCAACTCAGAGACCAGCAACAAGCATAAGTATTCTGTTACTGCACTATTGTTTAATGTTCATGGTGCTTTAATAGACCCAATGACTACTATCATAAAAATACTGTTCTATTGGCCTCTTATATAAACCTAGAAATGGAAAAGTAATTTTCATGTAGACTTGTCATAGGTAGGGTCAAAGTCTATTTGGGCTGCTGTAGAATTTATTTCCTAGAGCTGGTGTGTAGAAGTTGGATGGTCAGGACATGGAGTATTATGCTACATTTCTTGTCTAGGAATATTATGTAAAAAAGCTTGAGAAATTAATGCATTGCATAGATGTATGGAGTAA